TGACTGGTCGATACAATGAGTGATCTGTGTAACGGAGAATGAAAATCATATCTATATTTGGACGGTTTCTCCTGTTAACAACTAAGCTATGGGACCCGAACCCAATAGTTTAGTTATATGTATACGAATAGTTAACGTTTAAGTTATATACGAATAGTTAATAAACATATATTACTGTATTAATTAAACTAATAAAGGCCATAGTGTGTAAATTTTGTTTTTTATTGAAAATAGTATTACTACATATGCTGTGTTTTTATTATTCAGTTTGTATACACCTTCATAAAATTAATCTTGTAATTATTCAACAATACCACTACGTAATCGGGTTTATTGAAAGAAAAATGATATTAAGCTAAATTCACTAGTCGTATAGATAAGAAAAGAGACGAATTTGACAAAAAAAATAACAGACACAAAAAATCAATTGTCTTATGAACTATTGATCAGAATGATATAATTTTGGTACCATTCAATTCGTCTCAATGAGACGAATTGAACCGTACCAAAATTATATCATTCTGATCAATAGTTCATGAGATAATTGATTTTTTGTGTCTGTTATTTTTTTTGTCAAATTCGTCTCTTTTCTTAGCACCAGGTCCATATTATGAATTCTTGTAAAGCGTTGTTGGTGCAATAAATTATAATACGGCGAAAGTGTAAATAATAGAAGAATATAATTTTACCGTGAATATAGGTTGCTATATATTAAAAAAAAAAGAAAAACCTTATTAGCAAAATTGCAATCTATATACTACAAAATAGGTTTTCTTAAATTACTCTATATTTTTATAAGATACCCTTCTTTCAAAGATGCATTTCACATAAAGTTCTCACCCATGCGCATCTAACAAGCTATTTTTCACGTCAAGATCTTGAAAACTCCAAAAGAATCTTGTGAAAGAAGGCAAAATAATTGCCCATCTTCGAAGGGGTCTCACATTACTTGATAACGTTAGTTTTTTCTATTCTTTATACCGTTTGATTTGTTGAAGCTCTGGAAACCTATTTGTTTTAAGAAACGTTATATGTTGTGACTAAGTCTTGGGGAGAAAATTTTAAAAACGTGATTTCGCCAATTTGTGTAATTTATAAAAATCATATGATAAAAAATTAGGTGTGACATCTCGATCGACTGATATGTACGTACGTACGTACGTACGTGTAATGATCAAATTTTCTTTCTAGGCTTATTTAATGATTAAAAAGTTGTCAGTTTAATTTTTGAGTATCATTTTGCAAACTCACTGACATTTGAAGGCTCTTCTTATGAAATTTTAAGGGTGGTTAATGATTTTTACATCATTTATCCGAAACAAGTAATAAGAAAGCGTCTACGTATTAAATTTATTCAATTGCGCATCCTTATTACCTATTTTTGGGGACATGTACCCGCGTAATTTTTCGAAGGTTGAATTAAAATTGAGATTTGGGCAGTTTATTATTAGGGTTAGGACTAGAACAGATGTATATGTAAAATTTACTTCCAAACATGTTTTGATAATGCACCAAGACAGGTTTAAACTGCAGTTTTTCATATTTTTGTGGGTTCTTTGTTTTTTAACTTTTTCGGGCTGATCTGTGTAAACAAAATTTCGTGATTCCGGTTGGTTGATTTATACAAAATGTCACGTGGGTACATGACTTTAGATTAGCAACACGGAAATATTATTTCGATTTAAAGTAAAAATTTCGATTGAAGTTGGCAAAATTTTCGATAAATTTCGGGTTTTCTAACTAATCAAAAGTAACAGTTCTAACCAGTTTATGCAAGAAATTAGATTCAATTTATTTAATTCTTTATATTTAATAAAAATTTTGAACGATTATCATAAATAATGAAAATCCAAACTTTCCTCGTGTTTCAAAAAAATTAGCATGCTCTTGTTAATTTCTTTTTTTTTTAATCAAGCAGATTAGTTAAATATTTATATATTTTTTAAAAATTCATCTTTGGACATTAATAAAAAAGGCCGAAGGGTAATTTTACTGTAAACCATACCATAATCATAACCCGAAACTAACCCTTATTCTAACTTTAATCAAATAGTCAAAAACATATGAGTGGACTCGGCTCTAGAAGTTTCCCAGTATTGTCTATTATAAATTTTGGCTGTATGAACAGCATGGCGTGAAATAGTACAGTAGTATTAGAATTTTCTATTGTCGATGCTGTCGGGATTTTTTGTCAGGATTATGACGACCTGTCGGAATTTGGCCCTGCCCCATAAATACACGTACGTACCAGTCAGGATTTGGCCTGTGCCCATAAATACACGTACCAGTCAGGATTTGGCCCGTGTCCCATAAGTACACGTACCAGTCGAGATTTGGCCCGTGTCCCATAAATACCAGTGTTGACAAATGACTTTTAAATGATATAAAAAATATTATGATATTGTCATTTGTCACTTTGTCATTTAGAAGATAATGACAAATGGCAAAGATAGGTATTATGCTAGATGTTTTATGATTGGATAAATTCTAAAATATCTGAGCGTATCTTAGAATCCTATGATTGGTTAAAATTTGTTATTCTTAAATGACAAAAATAACAAACAATCAATAATATTTGTTATTTGTTACTAAAATTTGAAATGACATTGTTATTTAACAACACTGATAAATACACGTACCGGTATTATTAAAAAAACAAAGAAAAAAATAAACAAAAAAGTTTGCATGCTTGTGCTATGTTAGTTTACATACAGTGGATTAGGTTCTATGATTAGAAATTGTTCAGGTTATATTCAAATTTTGCAAGGAATATTTTTTATTAGAGTCCCAAAAGTTTGTTTTATAGTCAGAAATTTGAGATACATGTATATACACATAGTATATTAATAGAATTTGCCTTTAAAATAAATATATTGCTTTTTTCATATATATTTACGCCAAATATCGATATCTAAATTTAGTCTACAGGATCAAATTAATTAAGTAAAATTAGATCTTTTAACTTAATCAAAACAAAATATCAAATACTATAATAATGATGATGGGATGGCGATACTTAAATAAATACGATAATGTTTAAGTCTTCAGTTCAAAATTTAGAAACGAATCTAAATTTAGATTTTTGATTTATCTTTATTTAACGAGAATGTTATGATTGTTGTCAACTAAAAAAGCCTGAGTAAATATATTAAAATTTTCAATGTATAGATTTATCTTCATAAAAGGTTTCATCATTTAAACAATAATATTTAATAATAAAGAAAGATTTAAATGAATTATTTATTTCATTCTCTATAAGAACTCGGGAGCATGAAAAAAAAAAATTTTGTACGTTGACAATAAAAAACTATAATTTATAATATAAATCACGTTCATACAATTATTTATTCCTATCATATTATCCCTTATATTTTAAGTTATTACTACTTTTAAATATATTAATTTTCGTATTAATTAATTACCTACCTTCCTTATTCATTTAGTTTACATCTTGCAGATTTATGTCATTAAATATATAAAAAAATTATATTAATGAAATAAAATGAAATTGAGCCGAATTAGTGAAGTAAATTAAGTCTGCATCTATACTCCCTGATTATCTCACTTAATTATTGTCACATCAACGGTTCTTATTCATTCAACGTTTACAGCAGTAATCTTTTTCTATTTTTAACATTGCCCTACCTTGATTTGCGTGCATCTGTGCATCGAGTGTAACCCAGGTTGCATAAAGGAGAATCTCTTCCTGCGTTGTGATAAATTACTTAATATAATAGGAAATTTTACTTTATGCTCTCTGGGTTGCACTCGACTCACCCTGATAAGCTTTCGATCCACTAAACAAGATAGGGCAGCTGATAAAAATCGAAAAAGACCACTACTTACGTTTACTATACTGATTAAACCCAATAATTCGGTAATAACATCGACTAAAATTTATATAAATGAGGTGAATTTTAGGTTTCTAAAATATATTTCTGCAATATCTGTTAAAAATTCTTGAATCATGATTTCAGCTCTTGATCAAATAAAACAATGGACTACTGTCGTTGCTGATTCTGGTGATTTTGAGTGTAAGTATCATCAACCTTAATCAATCATAATAATCATAATGAGTGATATTAAAATTAGATGATGCTGAAAACTTAGAGTTTCTTTTTAAGTGTGAACAGAATTAAGTCGAAATGTTCTTAATAAAATTAGAATTTTTGGGTAGATTTTATATAACTGCTAAAAATATTATCCACTTACTTATATTCGATTCTTATTTACAACATTAACAACTCTAACCTAAATCTTACTATATTAAGTCTATATGTCTCAAAAAAAATTTGAAAATTACCGTATTAAGAAAATAAGCCTAAATTTCTGCATTAACCAATAATATTTATTCCTTTTCTGGCTTTTTTAAAACAGCAATTATACTATATCATCCACAAGACGCAACTACAAATCCCTCGTTAATTTTAGAGGCCGCTAAAAATCCTCGTTATAGTTACTTAATTAACTCTGCCATTGAATATGCAAGGAGTAAAGAAAAGTAATAATCATTTATTATAAATATTCATAGTTAATAATAACAATAATTATTAATATGTAATTTGACTAATACTTATCATTATTAGTTCTATTGAAAGAATGACGGAATTAGCCGCTGACAAATTGGTGACCTATTTCTACCTTTATATATTTACTAAAAAAACACTTATTAAATTCACTAAAATTCAATATGTTCAATTTATACATTTATATAGTTGGTGAACTTTGCTACAGAAATTCTTAAGCTTGTCCCAGGACGAGTATCTGTAGAGGTAGATGCGAAACTTTCTTTTGATACCGAAGCAACGATCGCCAAGGCTAGGCACATTATTTCACTTTTCAAGGAAAGTGGTATTGATAAGTCTCGAGTAATGATCAAGATTCCCTCAAATTGGGAAGGAATTCAAGCCGCAAAGATACTTGAAAAAGAAGGAATTCAATGCAATATGACATTAATATTTTCATTCGTTCAGGTATGCTATTTTATAAACCTACAGTATATCTTTTTCACAATTTTATTAAACGTTAACTTTTTCTCAAAAACTTATTCTACGTAGGCTGCTGCATGTGCAGAAGCTGGTGTAACAATAATCTCACCGTATGCTGGTAGAATTCTCGATTGGTACACGAAAAATACCAATAAAACATTTAAATCTTACGAAGATCCGGGTGTCATATCTGTGACCCAAATTTATAACTATTATAAAAAACACGGATATAAAACTGCCATAATGGGAGCAAGCTTTCGTAACACCGAAGAAATTGAAGAGTTAGTTGGTTGCGATTTTTTGACAATTAGTCCAGCGCTATTACATAAGTTACAATATTCTTATAAAAAAATTGAGAGAAAATTAAGTCCTGACACTGGTATGTTATATAGTATATACGAATCATCCAATGTTTTATTATTTAAGCTTATAAAATAAGATCAATATCATAAAATAATTGATTTATTTTATGGGCTGACCATAGTAAAGCATTGGATAAATGTATGTTTTGCGTCAAATTAAATCTGCGTCAGATTAAAATATAATTCCGATAATACCTAATTAAAATTCCACATTTAAATTTTGATCTGATGCACGACATATATATTTATTTATTTATTATGTATTAGCACGTTATTATTGTTTGGACTCAAAAAAAGTTATTTATGACGAGAAATCATTCAAGTGGATGCTTAATGAAGATGCAATGGCTTCTGAAAAACTTTCTGAAGGCATTAGGCTATTTGCTAAAGATAGTAGAACTTTAATGTGTATGTTAAAGCAGCGTTTGAATAATGATGATGCTATGGCTAATGAAAATATTGAATTATTCTCGAGGTCTTATCATGAGGTTGAAGTATCTAGCTAAATTTGGATTAACTATTCACTTATTTTTTTATCCACTTGTTTATTATCCATTTATTTTTTATTCACTTATTTTTTATTTATTTATTTTTATCCATTTATTTTTATCCACTTTTTACCCACTTCTTTTTTATCAGCTTAGCTTTTTTTAATCACTTATCTTTTGGCCACTTATTTTTTATTCATTTGTTTTTTTATTCACTTATTTTTTTTAGAAATTATCATTTTATTTTAATGTTTCTGAACAATGAAAATTACAATATTTATCAAATGTTCGTTTTTGTTTGAGATAAATTTTTATATAGGCTAGAATTCTGCTATAAATTATGGGGTGTAAAATTTGAGAAACAAAACTTTATACATTAAATAATTTTGATGTAAACTAAATTTCGACAATCTATTTCTCTCCTCGTGGAGAAGGTTGACTAGTCATTATAGATTAAAAATTTTTTTAACATTTTAAGCTAACTTTCGTTGCCTGTTAAATTTGTTAAACTATCAATACGAATTACAAACATTTGTGAATTCTTGATAAAATATATTTTTAAACTTCTAATTCCGTAGATTTCTTTTCACACTTTCAGATGTTTTTCGTTTAAACGTTTTAGGTATTTATTATTGCTACTTTAGAAATGGCAATATATCAAAAATCAATAAACACGAACCGCTCGCTTCTTTAATTGCTTTGTCATTTTGAAGTGACTCTAAATAAAGATCGAAATTATAAATAACCTATCCGAAAAGTGTTACCGATTTTTAGGAACTTGTTTACAAATATTTAAAGGTGAAAAAAGAAGAAAGAATTTCTATTGCTATATATTACTGATAAATCTTTCTTATAAAGCCTATAACAATTAGAAATATTATGAATATTATAGCGTATATATGAATCTCACTAAATAGATTATTACGGAATATATAAAACTGCTGGTTTTCCCTTGGAGACACACACACATATATACGTAAATTAATTTACTACCATCACTACAACAAAAGTTCCACACTCAAAATGAGGGAGGATTCATTTGAAGCGGAAACGGTATTACAAACACATGCAGTGCCATTAGTTCCATTATTTGCCATATAACGATTAGAATAACTTCGTAGGGAATACCTACAACACAATATTCTTGCAGAGTAGGCAGAGTAGAAGCGATGGCACTACTTTTACCTAGCACCAACGTGCTCAAAGTCATTCCACACGGGCTACCATGTAATTAACAACACGGAGTTTGTGTACAGTAGAGCATTTCGTACTGTTACTTTATCGTTATGTTCGTCATATGCCAATATCATTTTTGTTGTATGTATTATTATTTTAACATTGTCATATGATAAACTATAGAAGTAGCTATAAATTGTGGGAATAAAAATTTGTATTTTAAACTATATACAGTGTAATGTTAACGTTAATTAATTTTAAACTGTAAGTGTAATGTTAATTAATTTTAAACTATATACACTGTAATGTTAATTAATTTAAGCTATATACAGTGAGTGTAATTTAATTAATCTTAAACTATATACAATGTAATTTAATTAATCTTAAACTATATACAGCGTAATTTAATTAATTTTTATTTATTCAATTTATATATTGAGTATTGGTGTAGGGTTGTCAATGGTATAATATACTCCGAGCTAGTGACTGGACTCGTCAACTCGTGACTCGAATAATTCGAATTTATCATTATTCTAATCATGACAATTTAACTAGTTACTCGCGAGTTAATTATTAATTATTAATGTATAATTACATGTTACATATGATGTTAAAATAATTAATAATAAAATTTGTATAAAATTTGTAATTATACATAGTAAATATGTACATATGTAATTTTAATCTAACTACTGAATTACGTCTATGTAGCTCATTGAAATTTAAATAAACTAATATTTAATAAAAATAAAAAAATTTCAATAATTTTAAGACATTTCCATCTATACAAATATGATGTAAAAATAAAGCAATAATGGACAGAAGGAATTCTATGCTGAAGAAATTAGTTAAAGTACTATTACAGTAAAAGCAAAACCTTGATCCAGAATTGGTGGGTGCTTTTTAAAAAGAAACATGAATTTGCTAGATACTCTATTTCATGTTAACAAATAATTAATATGCTACATATTTTCATAACATTATCGTGAAAATATCATGTAAGTTGAATTACATTTGCTTTTGTAACTCTATTCGAAGCATATTTACAAAACTTTCAATAAATTAATTGTTGTAATGATTCAATTATTATTCGGAATTTAATTTGCGAGTTACGAGTTAACATGAGTCCAGTCACCACTCCGAGCATTAACAACCCTTTATCGTGCAAACTCTTATGATCATAGATTTTTCTTTTTATTTTCGTACGTCCGAATTAAAATTCAGTTAACCAACCACGACTTGTAAATCATGATCATAATTGCACGATAACATCGATATTGGATCATGCAATGATAAATATCACAAAATCTTTTTTTTTTGTCGGAGCAAATTATGACCAATATCTTATACATATTGGAGCATAAGATATATATAATGATTTATCAATTTTAATATATGTTGTCATGGGTGATTTTAACGTATAATAATTTTATGAACGAATGCAAGGGGAAAAGGGGGTAGGGGTAAGACGACTAGCCAGAGGCGTGACTATGGTGGTTTAGTCAGGGATAAATTATAAGAGGGAATTATCGTGATTTAATCATTAAAATAATTTTTACGGACCAATAATGAGATTTAGGTGTCTGCAATTATACTAAAGCCTTTTTATTGTGACTCGTCTTTGTTGTTTTCTATGATCCATTGTTCTCAATAACCTTCGGCTGAAAAAGCCTCATTCGTCATCCAAGCTTCCAAGAGTTTAATATTGAGACGCGGTTCGTCTTGATTTTTCGGAAATATACTTTTCGTTTTTTGTCCGTCACAATGTACAGTACATTAATGAAGATAAAATACTTTATCTCTAAAAATAAATTTTCTGAAGATAATGTCCTAGATTTAATAAAATTTTTATTTAATAGAATAAATAGATTTAAGATTAATAGATAGGTTTAAGATTAATAGATAGATTTAAGATTAATAGATAGATTTAAGATTAATAGATAGATTTAAGATTAATAGATAGATTTAAGATTAATAGATTAGATTATGCTAGACAATCAGAATCCGATAAAAGTCCAAAGCACAAAGTTATTAATGGTTTTACAACTTTTATTGTAAAAGTTTTATTAAGTGAAATAAAAAAATTAAAGTTTTCGTAAATATTCATGTCAACTTACATTCTCTATATACATGTCCTCATATTATAACATTATTTCACGTCATGAATGCCATTTATATTTTTCCCAATAATTTCGTTCATGTCAGTTGACATTTCTGACACGATGACTCCCGAAGTTATAGATATATGCAGCTGGAGTAAACTTTTGACCTGTTAAAACCTCGGGACAACATAAGGCATGACTCCATAAATACCACCTTTTGAATCGGTTTCGTTACGTTATATTTTTTAGACAATTCTAAATCTGAGATATAAGATTGCATATTTTCACTAATGCCCTTATTCTGTAAAATATTGCTACTGAGGAAGTTTGTATGGTCCATAAGTCGGCAAAAATATCTAAGTAGTTTTGATTTAGTTTGCCAGGTATGATCACTAAAATTTTTTCTTAAAAACTTGTGAAGACCTTCGTTATCAGCGTATTGAATAAGTATCCATTAGTTTCTGTAATTTGAGTCAACCCATAATATACATAATCAGTTTAATATACGTTTAATAACTGCACAATAAATGATTAACCTACTTCTTTTAAAAATTCTCAAGGATTACTTAGAACAAGATAAGGTCTTAAACGCAACTATGTTAGGTGATTCTTTCATAAAAATTGTTAACACTTTAATTACTTTGATCATTGTATACCATCCAATCAGGTTGCAGAGCATACAGAGCACCAATTTTTTACTATTATCTAATCTATGGAATAAACTCAGTCATACGTTCGTAATCATAAGTTCTAAATTGAAACTCTTTCATGCTGTCATTTCAATTTGTCCATCCTTGAATTACTATGTCAAGATTATATATCTGATACCACGTTTTATTCATGTTATATTCTTTACAATCTGCACATTTTCCATACTTAGTTTGTCTTTATTAATTGCATTATTTCGCTCTATTTATGTCACTTCTAATTTAAATGCAAATAATATTTATGAACTTGATTACCTATTTTAAATATTTAGATTACTAAGCGTTCTTTATTCTCACCGACTGAAATAAAATTTAAAAGTAAATATTCATAAACTTGAATAACTTACTGTCTGACTTCGATATAGTCATCAGGTTGGGAACCAAAATTTTGGTGATTATATATGAAGGTCAAAATTTATGTTTTTATAGCTAAGACAAAAAAAAATAGTGCAATTATAACAAGGTTGTGACTATAACGCACCCGGAAAATGTGTACCAGGTTGGGTCCAGATGGCAGGTCGGATGATGGTCCGGAAATTAATTCGGATCATCACGTTATTTTTTTGAAGACGTTTTTTTCGAGACAATTTATTTTTTTGACGAGACAATTTTTTTATTTTCAATAGTATTTTTTTCAAAGCATGTTTTATTTTTTCTATCTAATGCATACAACACAATACAGAATACATTGTTTTTAATGTCTTCGGCTAATAAATATGGCTAATAAAAAACAATTTGTTTTCTAATTTTGTTCGTTTCTTAAAATATTCCTGGATAAATTATGTGCCTTTTTGGTAGTTGACCTCTTTTTACGCATTTTCATTTCAGTCGGATCAACATTTTCTTTCTTTGCATGAAGTTTTCTTCTCTGTACCGACACAGGCTGAATCTTAATTTTTCCTCCACTTTGAATGGTTTCAGCTTGCGATGTTGAATTTTGTTGAAAGAGATAAGATGATAATTTGCCCATTGATATAGATTCCGATTTTTTATACCCTTTTTTTAAAATTCTCAATGCCAGCAAGGATCTGAC